GAGATTGCAGGTGTGCACCACAACATCAGGATTTATTTCAAGGCATTTAAAAAATTTTTATTACTTCTTCATTGACTCACTTATTATTCAGGAATATGTTGTTCAATTTCCAGGTACTTGTACAATTTCACAGTTCTCATTAGTTTGTAGTTTTATTGTATTGTGAAAGATAACATCTTTCATTAAAAGTTGAAATCAAACTAAAAAAAGTTTATCTTTTTCTTGGAGACTTGTTTTAATTATTAAAAGATATCATATTATGGGGAGGTGGAGAGCTAGCAGGTTATTCAAATCCAAGCAAATCTCATCTGATGCAATGTGCCCTTCTCAATGAATGGCATACATAGGAAGTAGCAAGTTTAATAGGGCCTTGAAATAAGATTTAACATGTTATGGTTGAGTTGTGTCATCCCAATAAATACATGTAAAAGATTCTAACCACGAGTACCTCAGAATGTGACCTTATTTAGAAGTAATATTCTTAAAGATATAAATAGGAAAGTTAAAGTACTCCAAGCAGGGTGGCCTCTAATCCAGTACAACTAGTGTGGGGGTTTCCTTTTGAATTTCTGTTGTTTTAAATCACAAAATTTGTGGTATTTTGATACAGTAGCTCTGGAAAACTAATACAGTAACTCTTGGGCTTTTAAAAGGACATTGCTTCAATTGCAAAAATACTGGTAAAATGATATGTATCACTTAGTGACAAAAATCACCTCTAGCCACAAACCACTTGTATCTCAGTGCCTCTTTCTCAGTGCCAAATCTCTTTGCTCTGACTTTTGTCCTTCCACCCAGCAAAATGTAGAAATCAAGCAGGGCCAGAAGTTGTCTGAAGAGTTATCTTTGTCATCCAAACTTCCTGCCCTTCAGCAAACCTTTTTCAATGGTCCAAAGGGAATCAGAGCAGGGGTCAGGAACTAGCGGTCTGTCCCAAACCCAATACAGCTTGTGGAAATAACATTCTCCGAGTTTTTCTACATTTCTTTCTGGCATGCAAATGTTAGCAATGATGTTTGTGGTAGTCAATCAGATTTTGGGGACAAGATTGTTTTATTGTAGCAGAAGTCGTCCCGCTACCCTCAGCCAGTGTACTTCAGTTTTTTAGTTGCCCAGGTAATAGTTTCAATTACAGTTCCTATTACTTCTATATCTTGGAAATCTCTTGCCACTGTGATGCAGAGCTGATCAGTATGATGATAGTGTAAGAACCAATCCCCAACTGAAAAATCATTCTGCCTCTGTATTTTCTGCCTGCTTATCTCATATAAGCCTTAGACCACCGGAGATCAGGGCCTGATATTTTGGGAATGGTCCCAGTTAGTGCCTGTCAACATAAAATAAATCCGCCTCCAATCCTGGATGTCACTTCCAGGATTCTCTTTGCCATGGTACCATAATTGATGATAATATCACTTAAGCATTACTATGGATTCCACTGCAGTCAGTAATGAAGTGAGAATCCATTGGCCACCCACTCCCATGCTCCTGACTGCCTCACCCTCGCCCTCTTTCCTGTGTGGGGCAAGTTTCTTTTCCAGCCTCAGCCAGAAGCTGAAACTCCTCCTGCTTGCTCTTGGGTTATGTACACGGATAGAAGAAAAACGTATACTGTTTGCCTAATAAAAGTTGTTCATTAAGAAAACACTGTATTATTTCTTTTAAGAAAAATTTAGGGCTAGCTTAACCAAAAACTTGTGTTTCTTTTTTTAAAAAAAACTCAAGGAGCCTTCAAAACTGCAAATTAAATAAATAAAGGGGAAGGATGCAGTGAGTGGTTAACAGGTGCAAGGCCCTGAGCTCAACCCCCAGCACCACAAAGCAACAACACCAAATTCAACAAATACATGAAGGATCTGCTGTGTACAAGGACCTGGTAAATGCCCTCACTTGGAGTGATAAATAAAAAAATATAAACGAAACATTCTCTATTATCAAGGAAACTATAGATCTGAAACAGGAGAAGGACACGTAAGAAATATTTCCAATAGTGAGGTGGTGGCACATGCCTGTAGTTCCAGCACTAGAAAAGACTGAAGCAGGAGGAAGATAGACCAAGATAGCTTGTTGCTACACAGCAAGACACTGCGTCAAAAACAAAATGAACTCTAGGATAAAAAGTAAACAAAAAGAACTGTTCTGTAAGATAAATACATATGCCCTGAGACACACTGTAGCTGTACTTAGGAATACAATATTTTCATATCTTTCCCGATATTTCCTTATCTTCCATAACACTCTGAGACAACTCATTAGCTTCCCTGCCAAAGCCAAGACCTGAGTTCTGAAAAATCAGCTTTGAAATTTTCAGTTTTTTGCCCACAAAGTCACATGCCCAGGTTCTTACATCACAAACCGCCCTGTCTCCACACCTGCTTTCAAGTCACGCAGCAAAGGCCCAAACTCTTGGCTCCCATTTCTGACACTGCTGTTTTTCACGTGATATCTTCCCATCCTGCAGTTAGTGTAACTCAGTCTGCTTGGTCCTCAGAACATTGAGCAGTTCGTATGGTTCCCTCTGCTCAGTGAGAGCCTTATGATCTGCAATTACAGGAAGGTGCTCCTCCCTCAATCCCTGGCCACGACGATCACTGGGGATGCACATAGGATCCAGCCTGGCCCAGTTAGAGTCTAATAACGTTCAAGTACTTGAAATAGGATATTCCACTTATGGAACCAGCTAATAAGGTAAAGGAGGGGGAAGTAGGATTCTCCTTTCCCTAGCTTCCCGTGAGAAGCAGAGCAACAGACTGTCCTGCTGCATCTGAAGATGCAGACACTCGGACCAGCTCTGATGGAGAGGAAACGTGCCTCTTGGGACTGGTTAAGGCAAAGCCTTCCTGCCAAACTGCCCCACGGAAGGTAAAAAGGAACAGCCAACAGCTTTACCTCCAATGACAGCTCACATTCTGGTGGGCTTCACACAGTTATTCAGCTAGTTCTTGCTATGGTTCCATAAGGCGGATACTACTGTTATCCCTGCTTATCAGATAAACTGAGGCCTGGGGAGACTGAGTAGTGTGACCAGTGCTACACAGCCAGAAGGTGGAAGAACTCTGCCTGCAACCAACCAACCATCAGCAAAGAGATAGAGGCTCTGTGTCTTCAGAACTATGGGAGCAGACTGTCTGCTTCAGTCAAAACCTCACTAGCAATCAGGAAAATAGAGTAGCGCTGGGCCCCTGGAGGAGGCCAAGAAATAGAGTGGGAATTTCATTCCCCAAGTCCTTCGTGTTGCATAGACACAAGCATTTGTACTAAGCAATCTTTCTTGGCATATAGTGTGGCAAGAGCAGGCCTGTTTCAAGATTCTCTGAAGTTGAGGTAACATCAGGGCAGGAAGCACATGGGTAAGAGAAGTCATAAAGGGGGTTCTAAACTGGGCTCCATTAAATCTGGCCTTCACCCCACCGAGTTGTTTCAGATCAACCTATCAGCACCTCTTTTATTTTACTTTGTGGTACTGAAGATTGGTCCCAGGGCTCCACTGTCCCTTTTTTAAAGATTGCCTAAACTGGGCTGGAACTTGTGGTCCTTCTGCCTCAGCCTCCCAGAGTGCTGGAATTATAGATGTACCACACCGCACCTGGCTCCGAGTTTTTAAGGGGGTTTTATTGCCCAGGAAGTGTTGATGGGGAAGAAGAGACCTGGGACCCCTCAGCCCTCACAGGTTATCGGGCTTCCCTTCATGTACCTCCGGGAGCCATACCAATAATAAGAGGGCTCCAATGTAACGACGTGGGTCAGGTGCAGCCAGGGAACATCGGCCACAGAGCAGAACCAGACCCATTGACCACAAAACCCACTGGCCAGGGTGTCGTGCTATGACCCTCAGCAGACAACTATACGCTTTGAACCAGTGACAACTGTATAGTTTTCCCTTTTTCCAAGTAGCAATTTTCAACCCACCATGTCTCAGTGTCCTCAGCTGTACAAAGGGAATCACATCTGTACTCACCACATGGGATCAACATGAGGGTTGGTGACTTAAACACAAGAAGCCTGAGCGAGAGCTGCTGGCACAGAGTGAGTGTATGGTCAATGTAGTGTGCTGTTCGGTGGCATCAGCCCCCTCCTCCTCCCCCAGTCTGCTCTGGAAGTATGGGGAACAGTTATCTGTTTATTCAGTCAGCCGAAACTCAGTGATCATCCGTGAACTCAGGAAGGATGCACATCCTAGGACCCAAGACTTCAGAATCAGTGACTCATAGATCGCCATTGGATGCAGTCACTTGGGAAAGAGCTTTTTTTTAATGAAATGGTAGAATTTTAAGTGGAAATGTTTTTACATTGTACGAGAAGGGTGTTTGCATGTGTTCTTGTGTGTTCCAATGCACAGGGCAGATGCTAGAAGGAAATGAGCAGCCAGAGTAGCTTCTGGTCACTACACAGCTTCATCACTCTGTCCTCCACACCCCCAGCCCCAGAGCCGGGTCAGGACCAGCTGTCTAAGGCCAGGGGTTCTGTGTTTCAGCTTTTCTGAACTAACGAGGTTTTTTGTTTTTTTGAAATAGGGTCTCACTGTGTAATCCAAGCTGGTCTTCAACTCACTCTGTATCCCAGGCTGGCCTCAAACTCACAGCAATTCTACCTCTGCCTCCCAAGTGCTAGGAATACAGGTGTGTGCCACCACTGCCGGGCCTGGAAGAGTTATTAAAGTTAAGTGAGCAAAGTTCCCCAACATTTAGAGACAGACCATGCTAAGCAGTAGGATTTGAAGTTTAACTTTTATTTAGAAGTCTAAGGGCTCAACAGTTCACATCAGGGCTGACAGAGAAAGAGCCCAGGAATGCTGAGGACTCTGACCCGGTCTTCCCCTGCTTCACAGCCCTCTCTTGCAAACCCTGGCTGCCCCGGGTGGCTCTTTCCTCCACCAGGACTCCCAAGTTGCCCTGGCATCCCTGAGATTCAGGAGTTCTTCCTGACACACATCTCTACCCTCCCTGCTCTCCACAGCCCAGGTACACAGCTGAGACACAGAACCTCACACACCACAAAAACAGATTTAGAGTATTTTATTTGAAGAATTTTTCTTCCATAGTTCTAGAGTAAATATTGTTACAGTGAGTGCTTCATAAGCATCGTTACACTTCAGTGAATCATAATGCTCACATTTTCAAGCCACTCTTGAAATTGAGGCCTCAATATGACTTTTTAACAAAGAATTAAACAAAATACCACTATACACTCTACAGCCCTAGAGTGACTACTAAACAGGAAAAACATCGTAGGGCCAGCACCTGTTTTGAAGATTTTAAGTGACACAATAATCCAAAGCATATATTCCTTTTCTTTATCAATAATAAACCATGACAATCAACTGATAAAGCACAGACCAACCCTAAAAAAGCTGTGTCGGCACCCTCTCACTTTTCAGACTGGCCAGCACAGGTAGTCTGTCCCTAGAGGGTGGGTAGCAAGTGTTATATCAGGTGCAGCAGCCAGCACAGGTCTGGGTAAGTTTCAGGGCATGTTCCAAAGTGAACAGAGGAATGCTACAACTCTCAGTCTGAATGAGACATACGATGGAAACTAGCTAGCTCTGGGCAATGACCACGAAGGCACAATCAACTGGTTTTAGTAGTGATGGTGTCTGAGTGAACAGTTCTTATTAATGCTTTTCATGCAAGTGTCTCCAAGGCACAGATGTAAACACACACACGCCCTGAACTGCCTCTCTCTGCTCTCCCTGCCCTCGCACCTCCCAGGATCAGCGGGAAGGCCGTGGGGCACTGTGTGTGCACTCACGTGGTGCAGACTTCATGCAATTTTAGTGTTTCACACAAATGAAGTACAGAGGTGAAAAATGTACTTTAAAAAAGGCACATATCAAAAAGCCAAAACATATCCAAATTTACAGAAAAACTGGTTTGTGATTATTACTGAAACACAGAGTAAAGGCCAGGTTCTGGTGGCAGCCAGACCAGAGCCTGAGATGCCTGCCGAGCGTGTGCACCTCCAGGAGGAAGCCCAGCTATGACCAGCAGAGTGGACACTGCTGCAAGGCTGAGCTTGTCAAGGCAGAAACTGTGGCTTCTTTAGGCGGGTGTTCCGTTATTAACACTGTCTTGTACTGAACTGACATTCACAATAAGTATTTTTGATAGCCAAGAAGTGTGGCCTGCACTTTGTGCCAGGATCTGATCTCAGAATCCATGTCAAATCAGGCCACACTTCTTTATGCCACTCAAACCCAAAGATGCTACACATTCCTGTTCTTGGTCTAGGAGAAAGGCATCTGACACTCATGCGTTCCCCGGGAGTCTACTGCCTCTCAAGGGATCTACATCATCGAGCTCATTAAGTGCTGGTTGATACCAAAGCGCTTTCATCTCCAATTACCTTTTTGTTCAATCATCTCTAGAAATCTGAAAACAATGCACACTCCAGGTTCCGTAAACAATTCTTCACTGAAAGAAAATACTTTACTACTCCCTCTGTGGAGAAAACGCACTATCCACATCAGTATAGCTTTGATATCTAAGGCATCTGGAATTACTCGGAACCTTGGCTCTTTAAAAACATCAAGCATAGCTGGGTGTGGTGGTGCACACCTGTAATCCCAGCACTTACGAGGCTGAGGCAGGAGGATCTCCATGATTTTGAGGCCAGTATGAACTGCACAGTGAGATCCTGTCTTTAAAAACGTTACATTTTCTTTGGTTCATGCTTCATCTGTTTTTTTTTTTTTTTTTTTTTTTTTTTTTGGTACTGGGGATTGAACTCACAACCTTGGTGCTTGCAAGGCAGGCACTTATGCTGCTGAGCTAAATCCCCGGTTCCTTCATGCTTCACCTTAATTATTTTGTTTGGCTCATACTAGTATCCATCACCTTCTCAGTACTCCGTTGTAACTTAACCAACACTACTGAAATAATCATAATGAAATATTTTAGAAGATGCTAAGGGGAAAAGCCTCTAAGGGTACTAAAAGGAAAGCCAGAGAAAATGAAAGGTAAAACCACCACCTTCTTTTTTTTTCTTTTGTCTTTTCATTTTTATCGGTACCAGGGATCGAACTCACAACTGCCTGCTTGCAAGGCAGGCGCTTATGCCGCTGAGCTAAATCCCCAGCCCCAACCACCACCTTCTTTTACCACTAATACTCCAGATGCTCTCCACCACCGACCATCCTCCATACCGGAAGCTGCTCCTAACCCATACAGAGCGATCACCCCCCTCAGAAAAAACAAAGAACAAACAAAGAAAAAACAAAGAAACACTTGTAGAAAAGCAGTGAATGAGGAAAAAACAAGAGATCTTCAAGGCCAGTTCTAGGGAACGAGGGGACATTTTTCAAGGGAACGCTGCCTTAATTCTAAGTAGTCTTTAAGTTATGTTGGTACCAGTCAGAGAACAGAGCTGCTAAAACTCCCCTCAATGCTGGGCATATGGCTCAGTGGCACAGCACTGGCCTGGCAAGCATGAGGTCATGACTTCAATTCCCAATATCAACAAAACAAAACTCCCCTCGAGTAGCTGACATAGCTCATGTACACAAAGGAAGATGTCGTAAAACCCACAAGTCTATTCCGATACTCATTCTACCTTTCCCAAGCACTGGCAGCAACCAAGAATAACAAAGTTTTCCTGGGAGCTCATGCCTCCTACGGAAGTGACAGTATACAGGCAAACATACATTCATTTGTGCACATATACACACACCAAAGGTGCACAGTAGAGAGCTCTGTGGATCAGAGTACACTTTCACTTGGTCCAAAAGTTCAATTGTCAGTATTAGGAAAATAATAAACCCACAGAAACTCATCAGAAAGAAAACTAATTGGTTGTCAGCATACTTTATAATTTATGATCATTTATAAACTAATCCCCAATTGTTTGTCCAGTACCAGTTCAGGTGGCTGGAGTATTCTGAATATATGGGTTTCAGTCTCAAAAAAATTAAAAACAAAAACAAATGAAATTTGTAAATATGTGTAAAAAAATTATTGCTCACTGGGAATCCAATTCTATAAAGCATATAAAGTAAAACAAATGTACTACTAGATACCATTTCCAGGAATATTTTAGCTCAAATTTTCTTAAAAAGAAAAATACTTAGAATTTGAGAATGAATGTATATGATTCAGAAGCCCTTAAACAGACAGATGTGTGCTACACACCAGTAATACTAGCATGCAAAAGGCTGAAGCAAGAGGACCGAGAACATGAGGCCAGCCAGATGAACAGTCCTTGTGGAGATAGACAGAGTGAGACAGAGGGACTGACTTTTAAATGGTGTTACAAGTAGACAACTGACAAGAATATTTAGTAATGCTAGGTAGGTGCAGTTGTACACACCTGTAGTCCCAGTACTCAGGAGGCTGAGGCAGGAGGATCAGCATGAGTTCGAGCCACTCGGGGATACATGGTGAGTTCAAAGCCAGCCTGAACTACACGGTGAGAGTCTGTCTCACAAAAAGGAAAAAAAAAATTATTTGGTAGTAAGATACAAAGACCCCTCTCCATATCCAAAATAGAGGCTTACTCACTTTAACCTAATAGAAGTGTTCCTGAAAAATCATGCAAATATGACTTATAACTAGCCCCTTCTTTTAAGTATACTAGAGGCCATAGTAGAAAAACAAAAAAATCAGAAAACTCTGTAGTGACTCTTGAACAAATTTAATATCTCTGTCCAGTGATTAGCACCTGTGCACATCTGCATAGTATGCAGCATTAACTGTGGAATGTGTGGACTCACTGTGATCATTTTTTTCCTACTGAGCTTTCTTAAAACAAGGCATGCTGTAACTGAAATTATAGCCTGCTATTTATGCAGAAAAATTCATTTTAGCTGGGTGTGATGGGCACATCTGTAATCCCAGCGCTTGGGAGGCTGAGGCAAGAGGACTGTTGTGAATTCGAGGCCAGCTTGAACTAGAACAAGATTCTGTCTAAGAAAAAAAAGAACCTGGGCTCACAGTTCAACAGTCTCTATTACAAAATATCAGATACTCTCAGAAAAAAATTTTTAATTAAAATAACATTTTCTAAGTTACTATTTCATTTCTCAGTACTAGGGACCGAATCCAGGCCCTCCTGCATGCATGTGCTCTACCACTGAGCTACACCTCCAGCCTAGATGTTTCTAAAAATTACCCACGTATGACTGGTAGATGTTTAACTCGCTGTTACCTGGCTTGGTGGAACTGCTTGAGCTGCTCGGCAACAGTGCTGTGTGAACTGCGTGCGTTCCAACCAACGCAGTCAGCACCCTCCCTAACTTCAGGAAGAACACCCGAGAGCAGGTCACCTCCTGGTCCCCTTTCCAGCTCTTTAAAACCACTCTCACTTTAGCCCACAAAAGCAAAACATGAATTACAAAGCTAAGATTAAACCAGAAAGCATCCAATTTAAACATGATAAAATTTTGTTTCCATCTGTAAACAAGAACTAAGTCAAATACATTCAATAAAGGAACTCTTCAAGGCAAATTGGTTTCTATATATTTCATTTCCTTTTTAAGACTCAAGTTTAAAAATATATGCACCTACCCAACCTTTTATGCACTCTTTAAAACACAGAATGCCTGGCAGTACAGTTTTTTGTGAACAACATAAATCTGCAATTTGCCACATGTGAATCAAGAGGTTTATTCTATTTAGTCTATCTAATTCAGCATCCATAACTGAAAAAAAACCGGGAATGATTTCATATAAGTTATGGTGGGAATGAATACATTCCAAGATCCCTTCTAACAATTCTTATTGTAAGCTTCCTGAAAAATAGAGCATGAATAAAATTTCTGAGCACAGAACCCTTCTTATAAACATGCTGGAATTATCTGCAGGTATGACAGGGGGAGGGACAATGGCAACATTAATATGTTTGTCAAGTAAAACAATAAACAGAAAAAAGTATCTCTCACTTAAAATATTAATGGTGTTTCAAGTAACTTAAGTAAATCAGGTCAAAAAACTGTCTTTACCTGTCACGTTGATTAGTCCCTTACCAAGCAGACACAAGGAATCTAGTTTTTAATGATCTATTTCAGTCACTGGCTCTAGTATCACATTTTGATGAAAACATATCATAGATGTGCTACCATAATTTAAAAATCTGTAATTTAAAATGCAATAGAGTTGTTCTCTTTTTTTCACAACTTTTCAAGTAACTGGTTCAAGTAGGCTTATTTACAGCTGCTAGTGGTACACATGTGACTACTTTAACACACGTTTTCCCTTTGGAAATCAGCCTGCCTTGTGTATGCATGTGCTGTGCATGTGTGTGTTTTGAACCAGGCTTTTAAAAATGCTAGGTCAATCCCTCAGGTTTCTGCTTTATTAGGCAGATAAAGGGAGGAGACCAGCAAGTTATGTCCAAAGGCTGGGAAACGCCGAAAAGCTTCCCAGCTGTCTGAAAAGATGTTGTACTTCAGGAAAACTCGATGCTCCAAGCTGGTGGAGAGCGCCACGTCTCTGCTCATGATGTAGATGCCGTCGTTGTGGAGCGCGCAGGTCAGGTTGAGGCCTGATTTGGATGTGTTTTCCTTGAGGTAGAGCCACTGCCGAGTGACTGTGTTGTAGGACTGCACGGTGAGCATGTCCTCACTCTGGCTGCTTCTGCGGTTGGACCCCAGCTCATGGAGACACCCGCCCACAATGTAGATGGTCTCCTCCACGGACACCATCTGCTGCTTCCGAATGTGGACGTCACAGGTCTCAAAGAGCATCCAGACGTCAGAGGAGGGGCAGTACTGCAAAATGTGCATGTTTCGATCTGAAACAGAAGCCAAATGATGAGTAAACCTCCAGGGCCACAACGAGCATTTCAGCACAGAAGGAAAAACTGCTTTATCAAAGCAGGTGAAGGGGAAATAGTTTTCCAAATGGCGAGGGAAAACGTGTTTGAGGTGAGAACCACCCCGTTGAGGCATGTCCTCTCCCTGCAGTCCCAGAATCATACAGCCACGGGGAAGTGCACTGTGAGGTGAGCAGGAGCACTCTCTTGCCCCTTTCACCCTTTGAGCCACTGGTCAGGGCCAGACGCACAGGCCCAGAGGCTCACCAAGAGCTCCAGAACGACTGAATGGGTAATACAAAACACAGGCTAAGCTCCTGGTGGGTCTAGTGCTTTTTAATCTTCCCTCCCAGTACAGGGAATTTAATTCAGGACCTTACACTGAACTACATGCCAGGACATATTTATTTTTTGTTTTGAGACACGGTCTTAAGTTGGTCAGTCTGCATTCGAATTTGCAATCCTCCTTGAGGAAATCAAACGATGGGATGGTTCAGAGGACAGGTTGAAATAGCAACCAAGGTACATAAAGCAACTAAATATTTGTACTGTCTGATTGATTTTGCAGGCCTGGGGCCGGTAGTCTGAGACTCCCTTGGGAGGATGACAGTATACAATATAACAAATACGGGATTTCCTTTTCTCTTGGCTTTGAAGTCAAATATTGCTCTGCCTGTTTGCTTTGTTCTGATTAATTGTTTTGCTTTATTCAACATTCTGTTTTGACTGGTTTTATGGGGGGGGGGTTGGTTTGATTTTGCTATACCTGACAGAACAAACAACTTACTGTGAAGATAACAAGATATCCTAATGTAGCGATTGTTGTTTTCCTAGTATCCTACTTAGAAATTCTGTACCAATTTTGCTGCATTGTTTTGACTGGCTTTGTTCTGTCTTGTTTTGTTGTATTTTACTATCTTTAAAATTTAAAAATAAAATCACAAAATCCCCATCAAAAGACTACTAGTTAATAAGTAAATTTAGCAGTGTGGCTGGATACAAAGTCAACATTCAAAAATCAATAGCATTCCTGTACACAAATAACAAACTCATTGAGAAAGAAATTATGGAAATATCACCTTTCACAATAGCATCCAATGAAATACTAAGGAATCAACCTAACAAAGGATGTAAAAGACTTATACATTGAAAAATATAGTACTCTATAAAATGAGATTGACGAAGATGTCAGAAAATGGAAAGATATCCCTTGCTCTTGGATGGGAAGAACCCACATTGTGAAAATGGCCATTCTCCCAAAACTGTTAGATAGATTTAATGCAATTTCAATCAAAATATCATTAACATACACCTTACAGATCTAGAGAAAACAAAACCTATAATTCATTTGGAAACAGAAGAAACCTAGAATAGCAAAAGCAATCCTGGGCAGTTAGGGAAAGGCAGGAAGCATCACAGTCCCGCTCTTGAAATTATACTACAAAGCTACTGTGATAAAATCAGCATGGTACTGGCAAAGAAACAGACCTGAGGATCAATGGAACAGATGAGAAGATGCAAACACAACTACAAAGACACTCAGCCACCTTATGTTTGACAAAGGGGCTAAACATGTTCACTGGAAGAAGGATAGCCTTTTTAATAAAAGGTGCTGGAAAAACTGGCTTTTCACATGATGAAGACTGAAACTAGACCCTTATCTATTTCCATGCACTAAAGTGAAAATGGATCTAAGATCTAAATATTAAGACCAAAACAATAAATCTATTGGAAGACAAGGTAGGTAAAAATCTTGAAGACAGGGATAGGCAAAGAGTTCATGAACAAAACACAAACCACATGGTAAATACTTCAAAGAATCAACTGGGATCTCATTTTATTAAAAAGCTTTTTACTTCAAAAGAAATTACCAACACAGTGAAAATAAAACCCACAGAACGGGAAAGAACTTCAGCCAGCTGTCCCTCAGACGAAGGACTTACACCTAGAACATATAAAGAATTCAAAAGCATCAGGGCCCCCAAATCGAAAGACCCAATCCAGAAATGAGCATCTAAGATGAATACGTACTTCTCACATGAAGAAATACATAGGAAAAATGAATACATGAAGATGCTCGACATTATTTGAAAAAGAAATGCAAATTACATGCAAATTAAAATGCTGAGATTCCATCTCAGTCCAGAAAGAATAGCTGCCATCAAGAAATCAACTAATAACAAATGTTGGCGAGGCTGTGGGGAAAAGGAACACTGCTCCACTGTTGGTGGGAGTGTAGACTGGTGCAGCCACTGTGGAAATCAGTGTGGAGATTCTCAAAAAACTAGGAATGGAAGTCCCATTCAATCCAGCTATTCTCCTTCTGGGTATTTTCCCAGAAAAATTGAAAATGACATGCAACAGTGATATATGTGCACCATGTTTATAGCAGCACAATTTGTAATAGCTAAATCTTCAAAATAGTCTAAATGCCCACCAAGCATGGAAAAGATAAAAAAGATGTAGTATTTTTATACAAGGAAATATTACTCAGCTATAAAGGAAGATAATCTCAAGGCTTTTACTGGTAATTGGAGGCAACTTGAGACCATACTCACAAGTGAAATAAATCAAATTCACATTTGTAAATATCATATTGTCTCCCTAATTAAAAAAAAAACTGAAACAGTAGCAATATCCAAAATGTACAATAGATACTGTGATTGAAAGGGAAAAAAATACTCAAAATGAAAGAACAACTGGAACAAAAGGAAAGAAGAAAAGGCAAAAGATTATATGTATATAAGTATACATATACATATATATGTATGTATGTATATATACAAGATAGCTATACTACTAATCTATTAGTTCAAAGTTTGTGCTTTCACTATTTGTTGATCATTTTTGTGCCTAAATTTTATAACCTGAACTACCTCTAAGATAACAATATGCAATATATTAATCAGTGTTAATTTCCTATCTTTTAAAAATTCTGCATCATTTCTTTTTTTTTTAAATAAAAAACATCATACCACAGCAATATATGTATATGCATGTTCATACTGACACAATTTGTGATAGCTAAATCTTATAAACAACCCGAATGCTCATCAATCAAAGAATGGATTAAAAAAAGATTTTTTTAGTAAAATGGAGTACTACTCAGTCATAAAGACTAAATGGAGACTAATAGGTAAATGGATGCATCTTGAGACCATACTAATACATGAAATAAATTAGATCCATATGTGTTTAAAAAGAGATGAAAGGCTATTTTGATATTTTAATAATGTCATTATTATTTTCTTAATCATTTTTAATTAATGACTAAGTTACCTTCTTTAAAGAAAAGTACTACATCCTTTCTTTTTGAAAAATAATTGTGAAATTTACACTGTCTAGATTTTTGAGGTTTTCTTATTAGTTATTATTAGTTATTCTTATTATTCTTTCTCAAGGAAAGAATTAGTTTAGCCTCCGGAAGAAAAAAACGTTGCCAGTAAGAATAAACTTTCTGTGCTATTATTAAACAAGCAACAAAAGCTATCAGTGGAAGAGACAGGTTGGCCTGGAGACTTCATACAACTGAAGCCTACAGCACTGATGTTGCTATACAAGCTGCAGGAAAAGACAGAGCCTAGTAGGTACGGGGCAAGCGCCCCTCATTGTGGCTGCTGGTATGGAGGATGAGAAGTTCAAGCCAACCCAGGTGACTTGGTGAGACCTTGTCTCCAAACGAAAAGAGCTGAAGTTCTAAATTAGGAAGAGCGCATTTACTCTGCATTCACAAAGCCCTGGGTTCAATGCCCGTACTGAGCAAGAGATACACAGACCATTCATTTCCCACAGGACCGCACTCTCCTTCAGCCCCTGCTTGTGAGACAGAAGAACTCACTCACCCCAGGCAATCCCACAGCTCTAGAAGGCTCACAGTTCTGAGCCCTGCCTGCACAACTTAGTGACTTAGCAAGAAAGACCCTATCACGGTATTTTTCTTTTAAAAAAAAATTTTTTTTAATTGTAGCTCAGTGTGAAGGCCCTGGGATAAAAAGAAAAAAGCTCCACAGCCATATCTGATGTCAAGTACTACCAGGGAGGGCAGGGTGAGGCCAACATGGGCACGTGCCTGTGTGCTGATGGAAACCTTTGAACTGTCACAGCTGTGGGAAGCTGTCCTGATGCACAACCACGTTCAGAGCTCAGCACACGCCTTTCTACTGCAGCTGCAGAGGAAGCTGGCATAGGGGACGGCCCAGTGGAGTTAGGCTACGTGTGACCAAGAAGTGCTCCTGATGGGTGACTACCACGCAGGAAGCCCGAGGGATGCCTGCTGGGGATGCTCAGGGGCGGTTCTCACTAGGCCCCTTAGTCAAAGATAAGGGGTCAAACATCTTCACTGGAAGAAAGCCTCTTTAATAAACTGTGCTGGGAAACTGGCTTCCCACATGCTGAAGATTAAACCTAGACCCATGTATTTTACCATGCACTAAACTAAAAATCAAAATAGATCAAAGCCCCAAATAGTAAAAGAGAAACCATCTGCTTAAAGACAGAATAAGTAAAACTCTTGAAGACATAAATGCAGACAAAGACTTTATGAAAAAAAAACCCAATCGCACAGGAAATATTACAAAGAATCAACAACCAGGATCATATATTAAAAAGCTTTTGCACAGCAAAAGAAACCACCAAAACCTGGGCCTGTAATCCTAGCATTCACAAGGCTGAGGCGGGAGGATTATCAAGTTGAAAGCCAGCATGGACTACATAGGTGAATCCAAGGCCAATCTGAAGTATACAATGAAACCCTGTCACAAAAAACAAAAAGAAAAACAAAAAATAAGAAACTGGAGGCCAAGGATTTAGCTCAGTGGCATTAGTGCCTGGCTGGCAAGTGCAAGGTCATGCGTTCAATCCCTGGTACCAAAAAAAAAGAAAAAAGAAACTACCAATAGAATGAAGAGACAACCCACACAATGGAAAAAATTTTACCAGTTACTCCTCAAAGGACTAAGGTTTAGAATATATAAAGAATTAAAAATCTGACCACCTCAAAATTAAAAACCCAAACTAAAAATGATTACACACATCTCAGAAGAAGTACAAGTGACAGACAAAAAAATGTTTAACATCACTGATCAGACTGGGTGTGGTGGTTCACATCTGTAATCACAGCACTCAGGAGGCTGAGGCAGGAGGATCCCTAGGAGTTCAAGGCCAGCCTGTGCTACAAAGTGAGTACAAAGCTATCCTGAACTACACAGCAAGAGCCTACCTAAAAAAAAAAAAAAAAAGAATTGAGAGATGCAAATTAAAACAACACCGAGATTGCATGTAACTCCAGAAAGAATGGCTATTAATAACAAACGCTGGCAGAGCTGTAAGGAAAAAGGAATCTTGTCCACTGTTGGTGACAGTGTAGGGTATTGGTATAAGTACTGTGAAAATCAGTGTGGAGAAACCTCAAAAAAGTAGGATTAGAGGTTCTGTTTAATCGAACTATTGCCCCCTTCTGGGTACCTTCTCAAGTTAAAAGCATCACAGCACAGTGATATATGCTCATCCATATTTATAGCAGCACAATTTTTTATTGTTATTGTTGTAGCTCAGTCTGGCCTTAAACTCACTATAGAGCTCGGGCCTGCTTCAAACTTATGACTATCCCACTGCCTCAGCCTCCTGAGTGCTGGTACAGCAGCACAAAGTGTAACAGGTTAATCTTGGAAACAGCATAGAAGCCCATGGCAGATGAATAGATAAAGGAGAGTGGTTTTTATATGCAATGGAGGATTACACTGCTACAAGGAAGATAATCTTGAGACATTTTTAGGTAAATGGATACACTTTGAGAGCTTAATTTGAAATGAAATAAATCAAACACATGTTTAAATATCACACTGTTTCTTTGTGTGAGAAACCCAAAAGGTAAATAAAGACCAAAATGGATGACAGACGGTGGGAAGTAGAAAGAAAATGTTCCAAGAGGAAGGAGAAGAAAGGAGAGGGAAGGGAAGGAATAGGGATGAAAAATGAAACAAAAAAAAAAAAAACAAGAATGGAAGGAAAACAACAGAAACACAGTTTTGCAAAGGGAGCAGGGAAGAAGGATTGAAGGGAAGTGAAGGGAATAACGAATCAACATACAGTTTACACAGGCACACACGCCCTTTGATGAATGTGGACATTATGTACATCAAAAGTGTACTGGGCCGGGGCTTAGCTCAGCAGCATAAGTGCCTGCCTGGCAAGCATGTGGTCATAAGTTTGATCCCTGGTACCAAAAAAAAATGTACCATTAAAATTAATTTTTAAAAAATAAATCTTTGAAGTCTCACTTAAGAAACCCACAGAGTAAAACTCTTTAAGTCCCAATTTTCCTATTTTTTTTATAATTAACAAGATGACTTGTCGGGACAAGGAACATCAGGAAGTGCTAGGGAAAGCAAGCAGGAGGAGGACGGCTTCAGAGGACGAGCAGCTGCCCTGCCCTCTGGACAAGAAAATGAGTTTTCAACCCTTACACAAACACCCATCCATCCGCATCACCCAGCCCTCCCAACATGGTCTCTGGCGATGGAACCCAGCAAAGAACCATGGTGGGTGGCCTCAGGGAGAAGGCGTAGCAGTGGTGGCTTGTGAAGCTACAAACACACACCAAGGGTTTTCCAGGTCAAATGGAAGGAATATTTGTTCAGCCAGGGTCATGGAAGAGTAGGAAATCTACCAGCACTACTGCTTTGGTGCTCACAGCTCCTGCTAAAAGAGCAGCAGACCGTGTGTATGTGAGGTCGGGTCACAGGCCGCACACGCAGTCAAACCCTGGAAGTGCTCAGGGTCTGTAACAGGGCAGCTACTCTTGTCCCAAGAGAACAGAGACGAGTGGGACTCTGCCATCTAGGCATATAATCACTGGGACCTCGACACCAAAGCTGAAGGTAAAGGAAATACCTGCCAAGTCTCAATTTTTTCCTCATTATTTATAAAGAAAAATCTGGCAATTATATCGAGGGTAGGGCACTAGAGAAGGGCATGGAAAATGGCTCTGCAGTGATGAAAATGTGGAGAAAAGCTAACTTAAACCCCTCACTGCTGCAATGCTCTGAGTGTTCTGCCAGGCCGCTCCTGGAACACAGGACACCGGCACCACCAGCTGCAGCAGCTGACACGGCGCCTGGGAAGACTGCCCACTGCCTGACCCTCAGAACCTGAGAACGCAACTTTACATGGAAAAGGGTCTCTGCAGACACAAAGATCTTAAGATGCAACCATTCTGGAGCCCCCAGACTGGCCCCAACTCCAGTGAAAAGTGTCCTGATACAAGACAGGAGAGGAGACCAGACAGACGAGGTCGTGTGAGGTCGGGGCAGCACCTGGCCAGGGAATACTGGAGACTGGACAAGGAGAGAAAAAAGCCTCCCCTATGGCCTGTAGGAGGCACAGGACTCTGAGGTCCCGACTCCTGCCTTCCAGTCTGCTATTTCAGAGTATCAACCTTGGGCCAACTTGCTCTGGAACCCACAGGAAAACGCTGCACTGCCCACCATCCTCCCCGCGGAGTCAGGATGCTAAATGGCAAAGTATTTCGCTGTTGAAAGAAAGGGGAGAGAAGGAGCAGGGGAACAGAGAGAGGGAGAAAGGGAGGAAGGAGGAAAAGAAAAAAGTGAAATGATCATAAAATATTTACATTTGGGGGCTGGGGATTTAGCTCAGCGGCATAAGCACCTGCCTTGCAAGCAGGTGGTCGTGAGTTTGATCCCCGGTACCAATAAAAATGAAAAAGACCAAAAAAAAAAAAAAAAAAAAAAATTACATTTATCTCTCTAACATAAATCCCTAAAATAAGACATTTATTTTTTTGGATATGGTAAAGAAAAATCTGTCAGCTACTGAATATTATATTAGTGTGTCTAACTCTGCCCTTCACAAGGTGGCATCTGGTCACCTGCAGCCTGGTGCCTGGCACCAGCAGGGGCTACAGAGCCCTGGCCTGCCCACACCACGCTGCATCAACGCTGGGTTATTACCCCTTCTGACACACAACGGTCACTCAGCCACTTGAGTGTGGCTAGATGTCCGAGTCCAGTTACACCTTTCCTGTAAGTTCTGGGCTATGTACCATCAGACTGACCAAATGCAAAGTACGGTTCCTGGGCCAAGAGAGACTTGGACACAAGTGCTTCAGGGGAGGAGAGGGCAGAGAAGGGAGGTGCACATTTCCCTAGCCATGCTTCATGGTCCCTTCCACAACCACCAAGCTGCTCCCTAACACCATCACCCGGAGTCCCCACCAAGTGCAGCAGCTGAAGAAGTCTTTATTTCCATGTTACGTACCATAAAATGCTCACCAAAGCAAGACTGAGACAGTGGCAGAGAAGTACATGGCCCCTGATTTATCTCCAGTGCCATAAAACAGGTTAGGGAGGAAGAGAGGGAAAAAGAGAAAGGGAAAAAGAAGGTAAGAAGGTGGGGGGATCAACACTGAACAGTGTTGACACCATGGGGATCTCCCTGACCTGGGCATAGTGGCTCAGGCCTGTAATCCCTGCTTCTCAGGAGGCTGAGACAGGAAGATCACTTGGGCCTAGGAGTTTAAAACCAGTCTAGGCAACACTGAGATCTCATCTCAAAGAAAGAAAAAAAAAAGTGAAAAATACTCATGCACAATTTAATAGATAACATAATCACTCTTGCTGACTAGAAGAAACAATATTCTTATATTCCTACAGCTCCAATGATATGGGAATGATTACATAGGGCCAGGCCTTTAGAATACACACCTGATATATTTGCTCATGAAGGGGGAAAATGAACGCAAAGAATCCCCAGCAGCATAGTGCCAGACGGCAGACGGGCATCTTTAAGATGGGTGCCCACATACTGCCCCCCTCCAAAGCCTTGTCCCAGTCAGAGAGCAGCCAAGCCTGAGCAGCTGCCACCACGTGGGCCGAGCCAGGGCGCAGCTGACCCTGAGGCTGGCTTCACAGGAGCAGAAAGGAAACCCAAGTTCGCTTCCCTGGCTGTTCAGTTTTCAAGCTCACATCAGGTCCTCCAAGGCCCTCCTGTCCAAAACTAACCCACGATACAGGACTCCTCCATTCAGGTGTGTAAAAGTGGGGCTTCTAATACAGAAAACAACACTCGGCCACCATTTTCCTTCCCAGGCTGCTAGGGCTCACACATGCAGAATGCTCAGCCCAGCCCTTCACTTACCTCGGGTAGTGTAGCCTCCAATGACATAGATCTGCCCCTTACACTCACAAGCAGAGAACTCGGCCAGGGGATTTGGTAACGGTGCCACAAAGTTCCACGAATCCTGCTCGGGACTGTAGCACTCAACATTAGAAACAGCCTGCCCGCCAATGGCGTAGAGTTTTGAATTAACAGCCACAAGTTTGAAGTTAGACCTGAAAGAGACACAAGAGCCCAGAACACAAAATCAGAACAAGTATAACAACAGCATGAATGACTACAGCAGAGTGTGGAGTCTGCTGTCAGCTAAAGAAAATAAGCTCTGCACGATGGCAGTTACGCTGCCAAGGACAGAAGATGACAGAATGGCTCTAGTTCAGGGCCTCTCATCCTCCAGGTCCCGCAGGAAGGCCGGGTATCTACACACCGACAGGTGCAGACAAGCAGTTCAATGAAAAGAACTAATCTTGTATAGTTTTAGGGCAGGTACCAAAGATATACTGTGAACACTAAATTCAAACGGTGGGCCTCTAGACCACAGTTTTGCAGTCATGGATTGAACACATTGGGGTGGGGAGCTGCATCTGTACTAAACATGGACAGACTGTTCCCTTTCCATTATCCCCTTTAAAATATAGCAAAACTATTTACATAGCACTTACACTGTACAATCAATATTTTAGGGATGACTTAAAGCACACAGGAGATGGCACACAGGTTCTACGCAAATACTGTACCCCTCTGCCATGGGGATCTGAGCACACAAGGTAAGCTGTCGTGTTTCTCTGCTTGTTTGGAAACAAGGTCCTGCTATCTAGTCAAAGCTGCCTTCAAATTTAGAATCTTCCTGCCTCAGCCCTGGAATGCTGGACCACAGGCACGCCCTGCCACCGTACCTGTTTATGGATTCTGATATCCAGCAAGAGATGTGGAACAACTCCCTGCACACACTGGGACGCCGATATGTTCTTTCAGGCTCTTTGTAATGTTGAGCGTTAGGGAGAAAAAGTGCCACACCACACCTTTGTCTTCTCCTCTCAGGATACCTGCCTGGCTCAGCGCCCTGGCTCAGGACCTGCTCCCATACTCCCCTCACTGCCTGCCTGAGCCACAGTCGCACCCCCCACCCCCCCAGAGAGCAATGTAAACTGCTCCATAAAATATAAACTGGGAGGCACAAGCACAGAACTAATTAAAAATACTCTGTTCCAGTACTGTAAGGTATTTATAAATAATAAATATTTCTATCAAAAGTACACACCTACAACGTTTAAATTAACACTGGTTTCAAGCCCTATATTCAGTAAAGAAGTAAATGCTACTCATCTGCTTCAGATATAAGGTAAGCCTCATTACTTTTGAGTTGAGAAGACAAAGTTAACTTGCTTGAATATAGCGTCTAGGAGTTAATCTATCCTTTGACAGCAGGAAATGCAGACATTCGGGAATGTTAGGTCAGCCAGCGGTGCCATACGTAACAGTCATAAATTGAAGGAGTTTGAGCAGCAGCAGCAGCGAAAAACCTGAGCACAAATCAGGAGGCCCAAGCCCCAGGCCCAGCTCTGCTCCTAAGCAGCAGTCTGTGCCTGATCAACTCAGGCCTTCATCTCTAAAATGCAGATAAGATCTGTCACAAGGTGAGTGGAGTCATATCAAATGGTTTTCCAGAAAGCATCATGCAGAAATGCATACTATCACTTGATTTTTTGCTTTCTGTGCAAATTAAAGACAAACCAAGTACGTCCCAAGGCCATATCGAACCCTAATACAAAGATTTCTTCAAAAATATCAGTATCCTGAGAGTAGACGCCACCTATGAAAACAAAACAGAAATTATGTCAGGGGTCAGATTAAGCAGTAGCAGTGAACAGTAGCCTAATCTTGGTCTCCTAACAGGTGTTCAATAATCACTGATACATTATAGGCCAGAAATATAGAGCCCACCAAAAAATGTATATAATGTACTAAGAAATGTCTGGAAGCTGATGTCCACCACTTTGAGCACCTCTTGAAAATGCAGGTGCCAAACATAATTTGCATTAATCCCAGGATGTCTCAATGAATTCGGTATTGTAATATTCATACAATTTTTCTTTTCTTGATGTATTCATTTTTTTGGTGACTCTATATTATAGCTGGATGTGGTAGTATGTGCCCATAATTCCAGATACTTAAAGAGCCTGAGGCAGGAGAATGACAAGTCTGAGGCCAGCCTGAGCAACTTAGCTACACACTATCTCAAAATAAAAACATTATTTTAAAGCGCTAGGGGTAAAGCTCTAACGTAGACACTTGCCAAGCATACAAGAGGTCCTGGTTTCAATCCCCAGTGCCTCAAAAAACACATGGTAATAGGTAAATACATGGTAATTTAGTAGGTAATAACCACCTACTAAAAAGTTGAGTTTTTAAAAAAGTGTCTGTGTGTTTGTATTTAAATGTGTTTTGAGTCCTGTTTTGCTCTTTGAATCACAAGCTGAACAGAGTGCTCTTCAGCCAGAGCCTCGCGCTGTCCACTAAGTCCAGCTGGCCACTGCGTTGTTCATGCCAACGGTCTCCTGCCCAGATGGCAGTTACTGGGGGGTCCCTGCTACACACTGCTTACCATTCCTGCTGCCAATGGTCCTTAAAACCCACACGGTGCCCTCTCTATGTCTGCAAATCTAGGGAAGCAAAGGAAATCAAGCTTGTAAATAGGTTCTACATTCTGTGAACCCTCAATTTATTTCTGCTCCCCAAAGGTACACAGATAATAAATTTTCTAAAGTGAAAAGCTTATACTCTTCATCCAGCATAATCACTGTCCTAAGCAAACAGGTAAGGGGCTTCTTTTGAAGGCTGAAGAGGCAGCTAAGAGTAAACAATCCCACCTCTCTAACATGCTCAAATTCACTTGCAAAGAAGAAACGGCATTTATTAATGCTGTTTGCTTAAAGATAAAACTGCCACCTACAAACAGACCACTCATTAAAGAGGGATGCTGTTAGGGTTCTGACTTCAGGTTTGCACAAGGAAATCCCAGCTTCAATTTTCAATGGCTATGTGACCTTGGACAATGGCTGAATGTCTGCGTATCTGTGCTTCAGTTTCCCTACCTGTAAAGAGGCAGTAACAAAAGCACTGCTTCGGGCATTCAGAATAAACCTGCAGAAAGAAAGCCCTTCTTACTGTGCTCCCAGTGTGCTTCTCTGGGCCACCTAAGCCTAAGTTCCTTCACTTTGGGAAAACTCACTTTTGCATGCACCAGTTACAGCAATCGATGATGTATTCTGGAACTCTGTACAAAGTGCTCTCTCATCTACAAATTGTCACCACTCAGCACTTCATTTAAAATCTTCTGAAAATCACTTCCCCTCTTCACTTCCTCAACAGTAAAGGTATGCATCGGAGCTATCAATTACTTTTAGAAATTATCAGTTATCCAGTGTATGATCCCAGACATACTATGTTCAGGAGGTGAAAAGAAGAATATCACTTATATAAAATAAAAAGCTCAGCCAGGCTTGGTGGCACACACCATAATCCCAGGACTCAGGAGGCTGAGGCAGGAAGACTGCTGCAAGTTTGAGACCAGCCTGGGCTACAAAGTAAGTTCAAGGTCAGCCTGAACTGCATAGCAAAATCCTATCTCAAAAAGACAAAAACAAAAAAAAGTTAAATAAAAAGTTCAATCAGCAAAAGAAAGATATTAATAGAGAGGAAGAAGTCAAACTACCCTTACTGGAAAATGACATGATCCTTTACAAAAATGATCCAAAAACTCCCCCACTGAAAGACTCAGAATTAAGAAACCCAACAGTGGCAGGATGTAAAATCAACACAAAAAATCCAATAGCATTTCTGTATACCAAGAATGAACATACCAAGAAAGAAATTAGGAAAACAATCCTATTAATAGAAACTTAAAAAAATAAAATTAAATTAAATACCTTTGAGTGAATCTAACAAGGAAGTGAAAGAGCTCCACAACAAAACTACAAAAAGTGAAGGAGACATCAGAAATGTAAAGGTATCACCGGTTCACAAGTAGGCAGAACGAATACTGTTAAAACAGTTGTACTGCCAAAATGACATATAGATTTAGTGCAATTTCACTTAAAATATCAACATTCTTCACAGAACTGGAAAAAAATCCTAAAATTTTTATGGGAACAGTGCAGACCCAGAATAGCCACAGCAATCCTGAGCAAAAAGAGGAAACCGTGAGGTATCACGGTCCCGGATTCCAAGCTACACGGCAAAACTACAATGATAAAAATAGCCTAACACTGGAACAAGAACAGACCTATTCACTAGAAGAACTAAGGATGCAAAAACAGTACCCCGGCTTCTTCAGCCATCTTTTGTTTGTTTGCTTATTTGTTTTTGGCAAAGGAGCTAAAAACATATGCTGCAGAAAAGATAGCCTCTTTAACAAATAGCACTGAGAAAACTGGCTATCCACATGCAGAAGACTGAATTTAGATCTTTTACCTTTTAGCTTGTACTAAAATGAAATCAAAATAAATCGAAGACCTAGATATAAAATCAGAAAACACTTAATCTGCTGGAAGATAAAAACCGAAAAAACTTTTTTTAAATTTTATTTTGAAAAGAACAAAACCAAATGAGAAAGGACACAAAATGGGGTCATTCAAATAAAAGGATGGGCATAGCACATGATTAAAACCACATTACAAGGTGATCTACTGTGGTTACTATGATGTCTCTTGTTATCTTCAATAGAACTGTCTACATCATCAGGCATAATAAAATTGAACATAGTAGTACAGAACAAAATCAATAAAAACAAAACATTGGAGACATTATAAGACTTCAAAAGCATGTAATAGTCAAACCAGAATGGGTATCCTAGTGAATCTTAGCATCTTTAGAGTAGATGCCTATACTCTCAGACTTGATACTAACCAATAAAACTCTAAGGGCTTTTTAAACGGAACATCAATTGCATAGGAAATACTACCAAGAATCAACAAATGAGAACATTTCAAATTTAAATTCTGCACAGCAAAGAAAACAACCAACACAGGGAAGACACAACTTGGGGAAAAAATTTTGCCATGTACTCATTAGAGGACTAATATCTAAAATATATAAAAATCTAAAAAAATTATAGACACCCCCCAAATAAAAGGCCCAATCAAAAACTGGGCAACTGAAATGAATAGCCATTCTTCAAAAGAACTATGGCCAACAAGGTATATGACAAAGTGCT